AAAAGGATAGCATTAAGCACCTTCTAATTTCCTTTTTTTTTCAAAGTTTGCCAACAAAAAGTAAACAATAAGCATAAAAAACAAAAGTAAACAGTAAACACGCTATTAGAACTTAAGTGTGGTCAAATATAATATTTCTCTTAATAGAAGAAAGAGATACATAGTATGAATCATAATATATAAGAGTAATAGACTAAAAAATAAATAAAATTATTTCCTTTCTTGTAAATAAATCTTAGCTGTTTTATAAGTTTTTAATTTGTTGTTATGTATGAATATACAATTCATATATATATAGTGTATTGAAATACTCAAAATTTGATTTAAGAATATCTTAAATATTAAATATAAAATCATAATTCAACTCTTCAAAAAAGTTTTTACTCAAATATAAGTCTTATAAAAACACCTAAAAAAAAGAATTGCCTATGTAATGCTGTTTATTGTGATGGTTTGCGCTAAAATTATACTAAAATAGTATTTATGATATTGTCTGTTATAATAATTTATGCTAAAAAAAGCTTTACAATTGAGGGTTCTTTTTTAGTGAAAGTTATGGTTAGGTTAAATGGTAACTATATATATATGAAAAATGATGGTTAAACTGAAATTTAAAAAGCCAAATATGGGTAGAATTATCTTGTCAAAACTATCTCTTTTTACTCATGACAAATCCTGTAAATTAATTGGTATACGTATACACTAATTCGATATTACTTCTCATTCTCTCTCATATATTTCTCACTTTTTCCTACCTGTTTTAGAGATCATCCATATTGGTATAAAATTTTTTGCCTTTTTCGAACATGGGGAGATATAAATTTGCCGCGCAGGACACATCTCTATGCAAAACCCACATGTACCACGTTTTTTTTTGGGCTTCACCACATTTATTCATGTGCACAGAGAATTAAAAGTGCAAAAAAGCCAAGAAGAAGTAAATTGCATCACCAAGCAGTTGACCTTCACCCATAAATTTATGAATGGACAATGGGTCGCAAAGGTGTTGGAATGGACAGATTATATAAATCTCCTTCTCAATGAATTTCGTTGGCGGGACCCTTTAGTTCCCTTGGCCTTTTCCACATTATCATAAATTCACTTTTTTTTCCACATTTTTGGTGGAGGGAAACAATATTTCTTAAATTTTAAAGTGGGCTAAGCTACCCCACCTAACACAAATCAGAAGGCATAATGATAATGAACCCGAATATTAAACACCTCATAACATTGGCCTTTGGTGTTTGGTCAGCTTTAGCCTCCACAGCTGCATAATAAAAAATGAAACAATTTTCAACTCCATTTTGGAGAAGACAAGTTAAAAAAATATGTACATATTGAGTAATTTTAATTTATTAAAAAACATATATGTATAAAAATATTATTTAAAATAATCTGCAATATCCAAAATGTGAAAATTAAATTTGAAAAAGGATATGTTTGGGAGCCTGCTTTTTTTTATAGTCTGAATTATATATATATATAGGATTTTAAAATTTAAGCAATTGAATGAAGAAATTTTTACTTATTTCCTATGACGGTTTCTAATTTACTATATAATAATTTATTTTTTATAATTTAATACAATTTAAAGTATAATATAAAAAAAATATGTATCAATTTTGATCCATAAAAGAATTTTAATTCACAACTCTAAAAACACTATAATTTAATAAATATTTTTAAAAATTAATTGTTAAATTTAAAGTTTTATTAATATAAATTATACAAGTTAATTTTTAAATTAATGTAACATTTATAATTATTCAATTAAGAT